GAGAGAGAGAGAGAGAGTCTAGGCTCCATGGCTTGATCCTCGGGAAAAGCAACAAATTTTGTAAATAATTTGTTAGTAAGCCCATGCAAACAATGCTCATTGTGACTTGGATCGACAGCTTCAGAATCTGATACTCTATTTTCCCATTTGCAGCTCACAACAGAAAACAATCATAAACACAATGGCGATTAATGAGGATGGTGTCATGGTCACTGGAGGTAGGAAATAGACATATGAATAGTGATATCATTAATGGTTTGTGTTCCATCTTTCCTTATTTCATTTTCTTTCTGGATTTTTCTTGTAGGTGATAATGGCAGTCTGTGGTTTTGGGACTGGAATAGTGGCCATAACTTCCAGCAAGCCCAGACGATTGTGCAGCCAGGTAAGGAATAAACACCAATATCTATGATCATTCTCTTGCTCTTTTATCATTTTTTTACGCATGCAATTCTCTTTTGTTTTATAATGCTTATCTGGTAGAGGAAGGAAACTGTGAGTTTTGCTCTTGTTATTGTATAATTATGATCATTATGATCAAGCTTGCTGATTCTTTGAACTGGTTGTCATTGCAGGATCATTGGACAGTGAAGCTGGCATTTATGCTCTTTCTTATGATGTTACTGGTTCGAGACTTATTTCGTGTGAGGCAGACAAGACTATTAAGTTGTGGAAAGAAGATGAGAGAGCCACACCAGAGACCCATCCACTTAACTTCAAGCCACCCAAAGAATTCCGGAGATATTAAGAGGAAAAAGAATCCACTAGTGGTAATCTCATTTCTCTACTATCCTTTGTTTCTTTGTGAATTGCTGTAAATTGTTAATCTTTTACATTCCTGTGTGATTCAAATCACTCTCTCTTAAACATTAGAAGAATTAGAAACCTGTGGGATGTGAGCAATTGAGGATCTAGTTCTCATAGTAAGATCCCAATGACATGAATAATGGGACTGACATTTTGTATTAAACAGTCCTTACTACAGGGGATCAACATCCTATCTCTCTCTCTCACCTGAAGCAGTTGTAGTGCTTTAACACCCTCATGTCAAACTCTGTTGTGAGTTTAATTACTTCATATGATTATCTCTCTTTCTCTCTCACACACGTGTGTGTGCAGCACACATGCACCTACACCAAAACCATGCATGTCAAATCCATGAGTATTATTCGGGAACTTAATTGTTTAACCATATGGACAAATGATTTGAATCATTAAGCTGCTCCATGTTAAGGTGTAATATAAATCTATTCCTTAAAATTGCATTTCGTATTGTATAAGCTGCTACCAAAGGTTGACGACACTGGCGTGGGGTTTTTGCAGATGACCATGTATCCTGTAACATTTCGATGATTATTGTTCAAGGATGCCATTTGCCTATGTTTGATTTGGGGTGCCATTTAAGAGTCTGCTGATTAAGATGGAGAGCTTCACGCAAAAGAATTTAGGCACCCGCCTCAATAAATTGCTCTATTTGAAGGTTGTAAATTAATTGCGTATTTTTATGTGAGAAATAACCGAAAGGGGGACTACATTTTTTATGGTAATATAGAAGTAGCTTAATTATAAAGTCTGCGTGTGTGAAATTTTATTAGTTGAATTACTAAGTTTGCACGTGTGAAAATTTGAGTGCCCCTCTTTCAAAAACTTGGATCAATGGGGTGGATTGTCCACCCTGCATGCTCATGTCTTCAATCTTGATGATGGGTCCCATTAAAGGGACTATTTTGAAAAGGATTTTCTTTTGGTTTTCTTTATTTAGAAAACATGACTGCTAAAATATTGTTTTTTTTCAAGAATATGTTTGACATCAAAGTTCCATTGGGAAAACCAGTTTGCCCATATGAGTAATTGAGGATTTGGAAGTATTTTGTTTTAGAATTTCAGTATATTTGGAAAACTTGACATATCCATCTCTACTAAAAAAAAATATCCTATAAGGTGAAATTGGAATTTTTCAATTTTTCTTTTTACTGCAATGATTTTTTTAAATGTAGAGTGATATTGTTGTTCTGATTCTTTGAATTTTTCACTTTTGTATCCACAAATCATTCAATTTTTTATTTTTTCTTCAAGTAAAATACAAGCTCAATATTCGTCAAAAGCATTAGTATGTAAAATCTATTTTCCGTCACAAGGGATTTTCAAGGGGGAAAGATTTTGAGATAAATCTTTGAGCTTAAGAACACTCAATCTGTTTGTTAGTCCATGGTGGTGTTTTTTTCTACGGAAGGAGATAAAGAGGACTGGTGAACAGAAAAAGTTTAAGAATAAAAGGAGACAGTTTACAATTCTTAGAAACTATTGAATATGTTTAACAATAGGAAGAATTATAGGGAATTCTAACAAATGATTTGCTACACGAGGTTGGAGTTTATACATTCCGTTTCGGAAATGCATATCAAGAAAATCAATATCAGTAGTAGCAAAAATACATTTTTTTTTCTGAGAGCATAATTCCATATTTACAACAAATGGAGTAAAAACTTTCTAACAATATGTATGATATGACTCTGGAGATCTTAAGAGAAGAGTAGTATTTCATCAATATAGATCAGTGCATGTTTAGAAATTGGTTAAAAAATGTGACTTAAAACCTTTTGAAAATATGTTGGAGCATTTTTCAATCCAAAAGGCATGACTGTCCATTGAAAATGATAATATGGTAAACAAAAAGCTGTTTTGGGACGGTCATCTAGATCAATGTCTATTTGTCAAAATCATGATTTTAAATCAAATTTAGAAAAGATGTGTGCATTTGAAATCTGAAAAAACATTGTTGTTTGGTTTGGCAGAGGAAATTTGTCATCTGCAAGAAAATTATTCAAAGGTTGATAATTGATTATTAACCGAAGTTTTCTTCGAACTTGTTGTGCTCTTTTATTGACATAAAATGCGTCACAACCCTAAGGAGAACTTGTAGGTTCAATCGGTTTTTCTTTTATCAAATCTTGAATTTCCAGTTTTTGTTCTAAAAGATCTGGTTTCAAACTTCTGTGAGAAGCTTTTATGGGATTTATGTCCTCATTCTTTTTGAAGGGTAATTTGACATAAAAGTTTTAGTTTCTCCCAAGAGGATTTGTATATTTTTTGAGAAACTCAGTGTGGAAATTAGCACAACAGTCTGTCAAAAATTTTTGTGTAATTGTTTCCAAACTATGTCTGGTCCATGGATGCAATCCCAGGTAAGGTCAGGGTTTTGTCGTGTAATCCTTTGGAGGTCCATTGGAGTTTTAGCTGTGGAGAACATCAAAACCAAGAAAAAGTTCTTTATTGGGTAAATAGGATCCTAACAGTTTGTGCTGGATAACTAATTTAGAGAAAAGCTTAATCAAAATAGGTTTGTTGATCTGATTTATAGTAAACTTTTTTCCATTAGCTGCTCTAAAGGTCTGAATGCATGATTCCCAAAATTGTTTTGGCAGTAGATTTAGCTTTAAGATACTAGCAGAAGCACCTGTATCAAAAAAGGAAGTAACAGACAATGGTTTAGCATAATGTTCTGGTAGGATTTTAACCATGGCGATTGGGGCAGGTTGGAAGGGTAAATTGGCTATGTTTGTCTCATATTCCTGTGGTGACAATATCTCAAAAGTTTCAGTTTTGCATATTTCATTCAATTCACTTTCATCTGAATATGCAATTGACAATAGTGTTTCTGGCGACTGTTCATCATCTAAAGAAAAAACTGACTCGATGTCATCCTCTATTTCTTCATCCAAGATATGAGAAAGAAGATGAATAATCTTCTTCTTTTTCCTCTGATTAGGACAATTTTTTGCGAAATGTCCTTTTTGTCCATAGACATAACATCTATTTCCTTTCTTGTGTCTGAAATCTCGAAATCGTGATTTTCGAAGAAATTTAAATTTCTTCTTGTGTCTTTTTTGTCAGAAGTTTGTCTTCTTTTTGACCTTTTGGGCATATGCATTTCTTTTCAGAATTGCATTTGATTTTGATATATGGTTTTTCACAAGATTTTTCGAGCAAGTGTTTGTACAATTCACAAGATTTTTCACAAGATTTTTGCACAATCTTTCTAAGGCATGAAGAACATATTGGTACAATTCACCAAAACTGGTGTTTTGTATTGTAAGTCCTTGATTTTCCATTGTTTTTGTGGCTTATTTGCCTAAAGTTGGTGGCACTAATTCAAGATAAAATTGTTTTAAATTGACATCATCAATTCCGCCAATCTTATGATATCCCTTGTTCATTTCAAAAAAATATTTCTCCAAATCTTGTCTTTTGAAAGAACAACATTTTAACTGAAAATTTTTTTTCTCTTGCAACAATTTGTTCATGCTTTGTTGGGCCAGTGAATTCAGAGACTACGTAGTTAAGGAACTCAAGTATAGACTCACTATTTCTTAACTGGAGTTGTCTGTATTCTCCAAGGCTGATGTACCAGTCGAAAGGCGTCCTCTTAATCTGACAATAACTTTCGAAATTATTTGAGATATACAGTATTTGCTAGATTTAGCATTTCAACATACATCCATCTTTCGAAGGCATGGTAATTGTGTGGGAATAGAAGAGGCTACAACATCAGAAACAATGACATCAGATTCTGTGTCAAAATTTTGAATCATTTGTGTTTCATTCTTAGGTTGTGGAGGCTGTGTAACAACTGGTGTTGAGTTTGGTTGAGAACTTGGTATAGTTTCGGAGGATGAAGCTGGTTTATTTAGGTTTTGGCGTTTTCTTAACTGGGGGAATAACAAATGTTCAGTAAATTGTCTCTCTTGTTCAAAGGTTCTCAGAGGTCTAAACCCATAATTCCTGGGAGGAATTAAGCCTGTTGGAGGGTAGAGGGTTCTAGTCGGAGGGAATGGGTGGATGCTGAAATGCAAAATCCAGCAAATACTCTATCTCAAACAATTTCGAAAGTTATTGTCAGATTAAGAGGACGCCTTTTCGACTGGTACATAAGCCTTGGAGAATACAAACAACTCCAGTTAAAAAATAGCGAGTCTATGCTCGAGTTCCTTAACTACATAGTCTCTGAATTTACTGGCCCAACAAAGCATGAACAAAATGTTGCAAGAGAATAATTTTTTCAGTTAAAATGTTGTTCTTTCAAAAGACAAGATTTGGAGAAACATTTTTCTGAAATGAACAAGAGATATCATAAGATTGGCAGAATTGATGATGTCAATTTAAAACAATTTTATTTTGAATCAGTGCCACCAACTTTAAGCAAAGAAGCCACAAAAACAATCGAAAAAACAAGGACTTACAATACAAAACATTGCAACCAAGTTGAGTTTGTCAAAGAAATGGAAAAGAACAAACACTTGTTCGAAAAATCTTGTAAAAAACCATATCTCAAAATCAAATGCAATTATGAATGCCAATCTGGATCAATCTGACTACGTACTCCGAAAAAAATATTAAAATAATAAAATTTGATAAAAAAAAAAAGAAAAAAAAAAGAAGGGGAATAAAATGGGGGCTTATGGGGTTGGGATATAGGAAGAACTGAGAAACATTAAATAAGCTTCTGAAAAAATGACAAGAAAAAGGTTTGAAAGGGAAAATTTCAACGGGGGGATTGGGCTGGGATCAATACTTACTTGGAACCAGTGTGGTCCGGACTAATTCGTGGTCCAGATCAAAGATTCCTAATTCTAATTGCTGGTTTTTAAGAAAATCGGTGCTCCTGCTTCCAGCCACATGATGAGAGAGAGGATCGCTGATTTTTAAATCATTGGTGCTCCTGTTTCCAACCAAATGAGAGAGCGAGAGAGGCTCTGTGGAAGTATTTTATAATTGTTTGAAACGGTTCAATGGCATTCTGATCTGCTGGATTAGCATTCAAGAAATAAGCACGGACAGGTTTGGACTTAGAACTTGTTCTTGAGAAGATGGTCTTAATTAATCAAAAGTAAAGGCAAAATGGCTTGTTTTTCTTCGGAAATTTGTAGGCGTTCTGCCAATTAACTGGGCCTGTTTGCGTATTCAGGCAAGTGCATGTCATGCTCAATTATACTTGGAGAAATGAAATGAATGGAAATATGTCTCATTCTTCAACTATTTAACATTTTACCTTTCTTGTACTATACAATTCCAAATCATATGTATTTTGATGGGCATTTTGAAATTAGAGTTGTTGTGTTATGGTGGAGGCTCATATAAGAAAAGCGTACCAACCTTGTCCTTTTCAACTTGTAAATTGAATGGCAGTGGGACTCATTTGAGTGGTCCATCCAAGCGGGAACTGGGAGTGAATCCATGTGCTTCAACCACTAGGGCGCCCTTTTATAATTTATATTCATCGATTGTCCAGGCAGTTATGGGGGTCCTAGAGAGAGAGATCCATCGCTTGTCCACTCAGTTATGGGGTCCTTGGCCAAAAATAGAGAGGAGGGGTGCCTTTAAGTTATGGGGTCCTTGGGTCCATGTATTGCCAAGAGTGCCTTTCAGTTATGGGGTCCTTGGCCAACAATAGAGAGGAGGGGTGCCTTTCAGTTATGGGGTCCTTGGGTCCATGTACTGCCAAGAGTGCCTTTCAGTTATGGGGTCCTTGGCCAACAATAGAGAGGAGGGGTGCCTTTCAGTTATGGGGTCCTT